CTTTAAAGTAAAATTACATTGCAGACAGAAGAAATCTCCGATATTCTGGAACGACTATTTTTGCGAATATTTAAACAGTTTTAAGAAATTTGTGTAGCGTGAAACTGCATAAAAAGTCTAAAAAACAAATTTCTTTGTGTTATCATAGAGGTACAAATCTAGTCTAAAAAATTTTGCTGCATTGTTTAAAAACCATCATATTACATCACCACGATATGATGAACTAGATCTTGGCCATCAAAGCTTCGTGAGCCAGTACAAGCTAAAATGTTTGGCCCTGCTTTTATGAGATCAATTTCCCAGTACAGAATATGTTAAAAAAAATTATTAAAAAGTCATATAAAACTGTGTACCTATATGAATTCACGAACGTGTTTAATTCTGAAAGGAAACAAAAACCAATTAATTGTATGTTTAATTCTGAAAATTCTACATTTAATTCTGAAAGGAAAAAGAAACTAAGTCTCTTCTCAGCTGCCATTGAGAATCTATGAATTTAAGGAAAAACATTGCCACCACAATTATCACTACTGATTAACTTAATATTTATTATAACTGCTGTACTATATCTCCTAGTTATACACTTCTTACCTCGGAAAGCAAGCACAAATGATTTGTCTTTTTTTTTTTTTTTTTTTTTTTGCTGCTTCAAAAAAAAATCCAATATATAAATTGAGAAATTATAATGGAGTCAATGTCATGTAACATAAACAACTACCTACCTTTAAAGTAATAGTAGGAAAGCTGATGTTCCGCACAAATACCTTAGAAATTTAAGCACAGAGAACTAAGAAGTTTATGCAAAATTTTCTATAAGCGTGATTTTCCCAGAATCTCGTAAATAATTATCCAAATTTTATAGCATTCAGGGAAGAAAGACTTATAACCAAATAAATATGCAAATATTTTATCTCCATTTTAATAGAAATTGCAATAATTAAGAGTATTCTGAACTACCACAACATCAGTTGCGGTAGTTCAGAATACTCTTAAAAAGGAACAGAATCTTTTGGTTTGCATGCAACTTCATGTGTGACTCAAATACAGTACATGTACACTGCCCTTCAAATGTTAAGGAACAGCATGTTTTTCAAAGATCATCATTACAAAATTATCAGCAAGATTTAAATTCACAATTTATATGCATGATAGTAACAAAGTATAAGAAAATATATGCAAAAACAGCTAGCACTTTTATTTTATAGAAATGAATACTTAGGTAAGGTTGGAGAAAAAATGCAAAATTGTAAGTTTTGCTTGCAAGTGTTCACATTTAACTGTTATTAGCAATTTCGTTGACAACATCCAGGCGTGTCGAGAAGTCATTTGTCCGATTTGTTGAGGTAGCGAGTGATTGGATGGATGGAAATGCGGATGCCACAAGATCCTCCAAGGTGTCTCTCACAATGTAGTTCAGCGACTATGGAATCAGTTTGAATAAGAGGATTCTTGTTTAGAAGACATGTCCCAGGCAGACCAAGAGTTACTACACCTGTGGGACATTGTTATTTAACTCTTTTGGCCCAAAGGAGGAACAACATTACTGTGCCTGACCTCATGGCAAATCATTTAGTCACAAGAACAAGAATCTCATCTACTACAGTGTGCAGGCCCCTGCATAATACAAGCTGTACATCAGATGACCAACTGTTTATGTCCCCTTGCCCTCAGGACACAGAAGCTGCCCGTTTATGTTGGGCAGGAGAACATGTCTCCTGAGCCACTTAACAATGGACTTCTGTGCTCTTCACAGAGGAGCCCAGTTTCACATGGGAGAGTAATTCAGGTCGTCAGCTGATCTGAAAAGAACAACGCACCAGATACAACTAGTCCCACATTGTGAAATGACACAGTTACAGAGGTGGTGGAATAATGGTTTGAGCTGGGATCTCTCTTGGTGGTTACAATGACCTGCATGTATTGCATGAAGGAATTTTGACCGGTATGAGATATCGAGACAAGACCTCGATCAACATATCTGCCCACATGCCACTGCTATTAGTCCTGGATTTCTTCCGATGGACAACAATGCACAACTGCATGAAGCTCGGGCTGATGAAGAATATCTTGATGGTCATGGTATGGGATAAGAGGAATGGCCAGCTCAATTCCCAGACCTGAATCCAATACAACATCTTTGGGACTACATTGGGAGACAGGTTGCTTCTTCAAATCCTGAACAAGGATTACTCAGTGTCTGGTCATTGCTTACCATTTTCCTGACCGACAACTTAATTGACAGCATGGAATGTTGCTGCCATCAATGTATTGGAGCTAGGGGTGAACACAGTCCTTATTAGAACCCATTTTTGTAACGTTACAACATTTTTCCTTGAAAAACTGCAATATACTGTTTTTCCAAGACCGGATTTCTCTGCAAAGAGTGCAATTTTTGTAGTACTTCATGTTTGTGTTGATCTTAAGAAGCATTCTGCATCACATTTATTAAAGAACTGTTTGATGAAATGTCTGCTAAATTTCTTGCTTCTATGCTGCTTCATTCTCAAATTAAGACACCAAAAACATGCTGTTCCTTAACTTTTGGAGGGCAGTGTATTTAAAATTCGGCAAAGAAGCAATCATTTACATATATGTTGCTCATGAAGAAAATCCTGAAAAACTCGCACAGTCAGACATTTCAGTCACCAAGAATGGAAATGGAGCCAAATGACCATTGTTTTGAGAAAGGAGATCACAGTACTGTCTGCATACATCATTTCTTCAATTGCAATGCCGATTCATGGTTATAATTTTATAGACGAACTTAGGTTTAATATGAATTCTGATCCTCCCCTAAAAGAGTCCTTTGTCAGATTTTTTTTCTAAATATTTTTTTAAAAATGAATGCCAGTCTAAGATAGAAATTTGAATGATTTTAAAGTTGATGTGTTTCACTAGATTTGTTATTTGCTGATGCGATTTAGAAGTTACCCATGGTTTGTGAAAGATTATTTTTATAGGATATTATATTATAGTACTAATTCAAATTTTATGTGAATTTTTTTTTCCGAATTACATTAAAAATTTCTTTCTAACATATTAAAGTTATGGGCATGAATTATAGTGACGTATACAAGAATTAAGGTACTCTTAGCTCTTCTTGATTAAAAACCCATTTTTGAACAGAAAGGTATGCCTATCTTTTATCCTGAAAAGCTACTTAAGTGCCTGAATATACGTGTTGTGCCATAGACCTGGAAAACCGAGGGCTGATGGTAGCATAACAATATTTTTTAAAGTTACAGATCAATATGTCTCAGATAAAAACTTTCTGGTAAGATTAGTGTAAGTGAGTATGAATATTATAGAACACATTTTTTTTTACATACTTGTGATGGAAAATGAAATTATCAAGTCTCATATTTTGATGAATTTTTGTATAATTAGATACACAATTTGAAGATGGAACTAGTAGTGAATAGTAAAGTAATTGGTATATATGGTAGTGAATAGTAAATAAATTGGTATATAAAATCACAGTTCTGAAAAGTCAATATACTTCAACAAAAGAGCATTTACGATTTCAGTAACTGTAAAAATCCCAAGTGATTTTAAGTAACTTTATTAAAAATATTAATCGACAGATGGAGGTTACGCAATTCACAAAAAATCTCAAAAGTTTTATTTCAAACACTTTGTTAGTGATTTAGAGCTTTATAACAGCACATATTCAGGCTATTTTTCTACGGGTCAACAATCTATTGCAAAGTAGTTATTTTTACATATACAACTGTTCAATTTGTCAGTGAATAAAAATTTATATCTGACGAGAAAACTAGTCAAATAATGAGACAGAAAATGAGAACTCATTCATTGAAAATTACACACATTCTTTAATTATAAGAATTTGCTTTTTGATTATCATAGTGCCTGTGAGAAATAATAAACAAAGGAACTATTACAAAAACTTAGAAATGATTAGGATATTATAACATAAAACAGACATCAGTTAGGAATACAAAATATAAATGGTACTTTAGAATAAATGTCACCAAATCCCGGAAGTACATTCTGTAACCAAATGCAATCAAAAAAATATCGTATGACTATATATTGAAAAATGCAGAGCTATTATAACAGACAATAGATTAACAATTAAAGGATGTGGAGGAATCTTCATGTTCTGTTGTTGCTCTGTATCCATCCTGAATTGAACTTCGAAATCCATCTCCTAATTTCATGAATTTCAGCATATATATATATATATATATATATATATATATTTAAATATTGTCCAATATATCTCCAACACATCATACATAACAAGCAATTATTCTTACATGCACTTGTCACGTTCTGTGTCTCATAACTAGCAAACTAGGTGTCTCACATTATAGGTTCATGGAAATTTTTTACTTATCTTTGGTCACTTAAGCTGGCATATGGCAACTTTATTTTGGGATACTCTGTATATTAAACTTGTGTTCACATTTTCTTCTGATTTTTAATACCTCAAAATTTGTAAAATTTGATTCTAACCTAGTTCTATCTTGGAGATTCTTCAATAAAGAATGCTTTCAATTGAAATCCCTCAAATCATAGTGTAACTTGACCTATAAAATAAGTGAGCATTTATTTAATGTGCTCTTTCCATTAATCAAGTTTTTCCTTCCTTCCCCTTTCTAAGAAAACCACTGAATCAAAAGTCTGTTAAAAACAGCTTTTGAAAATTCCTTCCTACCACTATATTATATTTGATTTAAGATGTCAGGTTTGTTAAAGCTAGAGCTCTAGGTTTACAGTTCCAGTAATATTTCATACATTTTTTTAATAAATATTTTTTAAGCTATTAATGCCTATTATCTGAAATTTCGAGATGGAGAAATAGAACTGGTTATAAACTACCTCTAACTTGAATACGTGGAAAAATTTCAGAGATACAATTTGAACTCAGAATCTGCTCTCACAAATAAGATCATATACATTTTCTAACACTATCTAAAAATTTTTTGTCAAAGTGGTCGAAGTCAGTGTTGTGCATACTGAATAATTTCTTTGAAGCCTTTTAAGTGTTTTCATTTATTATATTATCAGCTATTCTTTAGAATCTAATGAAATTCTTTACAATTTATCATTTGACTATGACTTTTTTATGCAATTGTACGTTTACCGTTATTAAATCAAAAATAGACAAAAAATATCTTATTAAAAAATAATTAAAATTCCTTTATTTCTTTCAATGCATTTTGCTTTTATGTCATATTTTTTACACATTTCTTTAAAGCCTATTACACGCTGTATGGGAATTATGATATTAGCTTTGACCTAGCTGAGAATGCTATATACCACAAAATGATGCTGAAAGCAGCTGCCAGAAACTCGCTCTGCACCCATGGTCCATAATATGTACCCTAGAAAGAAACAAAATAAAGCTGATAACATTAATCTACAAATAATTTTTCAAAATACTCTTGCAAGTGAAAACTATTCCTAAATTACAAATACACTCACTGTATTAGATAAAAATACTTGTTTTATAACTTAATATTAAAATATTTAGTAACTCAGCATATAGTTTTTTTTTTTTAAATGGGTCATGCAATGACACCAAATATGGCTGAATACTTAATTTTGAAAATTAATGAATTTGAGTTACAAAAAAGTTATATTTTATAATTATAGTATTATTCAGCATATTATAATGAATTTGAGTTATAAAGAGTTGGAGTTATATTTTCTTCCACTTTTAAGTTTGTTTTCAGTGGGCTTGCTTCCTACAGTGGACTACAACTCAAATCTGATACCTCTCTACTTTTATTTGAAATCATTTCCTTACTGAAAATGCTGAACAATGAAGAAAAAAACATTGAAGTCACCTTTTTATTTATTTATTTTTATTCTTAATGACAGAATTTTATGGAGCATATTTTAGAGACAAAATAGTTTGTTTTGCCTATGAATAAGTCACGGGTAACAAACACCATGTTGCACAAAAACATGCTAGCTCATCTCATCTGCTTCATTATTTACAATATTGTACATTATCCATAGATGATGATGCAGATAGTAAAAACATGTGAAAGTGTTCAGTGAGATGTATTTTCTTCATCAAATTGCAGGCTTATAACAGGCAGAGCAGCCAGATTTTTTAATAATAAAAGGAACTGAACATTGTAAAACTTGCACTCACACACACAAAAAAGTTAAATAAAATGAGACCAAATATCAACACTAAGAGCTTTATTAATATTGCACAAGTGTTTTGTAGGTAATCTGAGCAATAGCATTTGATTTGGCACAGATGCATGATTAAGCTGCATGTAAATATGGATATTTTACTCTATTTCACTGGTAAAAGCTATCTGAATTATGCATATTGTGATACAGGCAGTAAGAGAGAAATAAGATTCCATTATGGCAAAGTGCATGAGTGTTATTTGTCTAGATGGAGAACTTTTTATTTGAAAATAATTCAGTTTGATACTACACATGTAGAAAAACTGCAAGAACTGCAAGGTAGCCAATCCATTCAATGGCATATGGACAGTGAAGAATGCATACTGGGATAGAGTGATAAAGCCAGATGAAATCAAATATTACTTAAAATTTACTTTTAGGCATGTACAATCAAAAAGGTCAGAAAAGAAATGTCTTTTACTACCTTTCAGCATATGACTAGTATGACTACTATATATAATAGTTTAATTATTTCATTTATGAAAGGAATTCTTAATTTATATGTACATGAAGTGTGAAAAATTATTCACTTTTACTAGGCTTAACATTAATATGGAGAATGGGAGAACACATAATTGCTATTTGTCAAAGAAAATTCTCTTAAGTGGACAAGTCTCCATGTCTTTTTTGCCTTTATGGAATACTTTCTGCAAGCTCATATTTGACAGGAGAAAGGTTTATACTAACATTTTAACAGGAAAAAGTAATATTTTATTAGAAGCGTAATTTCCCTGATGGTGCTGTATCAACACTATTATAGCTACAAACTTGTTCAAGTTATTCTAGTATTTTCTCTGATGTTTGTCCACACTCAATATGTCAACAGTACTTGTATTCACATAAATGTAACACGAGAACACCAGGTGCTTAGATATGACTCGTTCTTTCTAATATTAAAAATATATCAAAAGATGAATGTATTTACTGCTGATAAAAAAACTGTTCTAAGATGATTTGGACATTTTTAGATAAAAGCAAAAACAGAGTGGGAGACACAATTTTCAGGAACATATTCTCAAGAAGAATTTATAATGCTTTAATCTGCCATGAAACAAATGACAGAATTAATTCATTATCAGAATTTGTTCCTTTGTTTAGTATTTTCATTAATTCACAATATACTGGTAATACCAATGAACAGTATTTTAACATTTCAAGTTTTGAAGGCTTAAATTCATGGCAGTTACATGACGATGAATAAAATGCAAATTCATGGTTAGCAGTAGGATGTGCAACAGCAATTTTACAAATGGATTCATGATAATGAGTTATAGTCACACCCAAACTCAAACACATACATTAGAAAACCATGAACTGATGCAATCTTCATAACTATATGTAGCTCAGTTACCTGTAGCAGAGATCAAAGTAGTGCACTGGGAACAGTATCTTACCTTTTAATTATCTCCCCCCCCCAACCTAAGAACAGGTATTTTCTCTGATGTTTGTCCACACTCAATCTGTCAGAATAATAAAATTCACAGCCAGGAAATACACAAATCAACAGAAACTGCAATATCTCAGTTACGTTTCATTTAAATTTAAGGTATTTAACATTTAATTTTATGTTAAATTTCTTTCCCATACAAATAACTGTCCTACAGATGAAAATTACATGAAAGAACAAAACACTAAGGACAGATAATGGGAGAAATTAGCCTCAATATGCTAATGTTGTTGCACACACACACACCTGTTGAAACAAGTATGACAAATGGAATATGAAATAAATTAAGACTTAATATTATGCATGCGTATATCCTCATAAACCTTCGGGATATACTAATTTGTGTGTGTGTGTGTACTACACATAAGCATGCATACCTAAAATAAAATTATTAATATACTCATGAAAACATTATACGTATGCAAAATGATACAGACAACTTTCAGGCCTACGACATGCTACGTGAGCAACACAATAAAAGTAACATTTAATAAAAACGCATACCCGATGATACACAGAAACAGAGAAAGCTGATGGTAATCCTGATGCATCTTCTCCTTGCCGCTGAGCCTATATAAATAGATACAAAAGTTTTAGATAAAATACAAATTTTATCAAGCAATAAATAAGATTTATCATTAACATAAACTAGATATTTTAAAATTAAAAATATTCTGATGACAATCCAGAACTATCATCTTAAATGCAGATCCAAAATCACAAATAGAAGAAGCATGTAAATGATTAATACATTTTGGAAATGTTACAACAAAAGAACTATTGCATTTAATCAGTTGCATATAGTGACTTTTAAAAAAGAATGTATGAAACTTGCAGTTTACCTAGAAGTATTCAAAACCCTTTGATTGCATAATAAATATCCAGTCAGCTTGTGCCATCATTTTCCAACTTGCAACAACGAATCCTACAATGGTAATTTGCACTTTATGACCCCTCCCAAAAATATGGCCTGCAGTCAAAGCAAGCAATCCAGTGTCTTTGAAAGTAGTGTCTATTTGACATTTCTTTATTGACATGACGCTTGCCACTGTTTTACAGACTATCCTTGATATTGTTACTTAACTCTTTCCAGAAGAGCATCCCATATACTCATTCCCTACAAACATCTCTCACTGCCAGGCATCCCATCCATGCATTAAATTCCAAGGACAGGCAATGTATATCCACATTTTAAGCTGGAACATTTTTTTAAAGACCATTAGATGGCACTTTATGTCCATTATTGAAATGAACACAGTTTTATGTTCGCCACCTTCAGGTAGTACACATTCTACCTTACTTTGGTATTTTACTCATTAGCTGTTTCACAGACAGCGGGAAAGTGCAATGTAAACAGACCCAAGCTCTTTAACTCATCACGTGATAATATAAACATCTGCATTTTTGACTTATCTCCCATTCCTCTTTTTCTCTCTAATGTGTAAGGTTTTTTTATAGAGTTACTACGTGGGGTTGTTACATTTTGCCTAGCTTTTATATATATTTTGGGTACTTCCATTTTTATTTTGGAAAGTTCCGACTCCAGTGTATTATGGCGTGAAGGCATTACTTATCGGAAGAATACACTCGCATGGTAAATGAGTCAATTAAAGACACTGAGAGTGATGATTCATTTTCTAAAGAGTTAGACTGCAGTAGTGTACTTACACCATAACAAAACATTCCTTAGAAACTTTCTTAACCCCCAAACTACATATAATATTCAAAATGAAGGATGTTAACCCAGCATTTATATTGTTTAAGAGGAAGCTATGGCATGTTACACCTTGGTCTGAAACATGCAAAACATTTTCTTTAAATAGTCTAAAATTTTACAATAGGTTTTCTATAGATAATTACCATTTAAACAGCAAAACATTAATGATACAAAAGATTAACACATTAAAAACAAATTTTCTTATTGTGATACAATGTACATCTTACTTTCATAGTTAAATGCACATTTCATCATAAGTGCTTGAATATGAACAGCATAAAAAGCAAATCCATCCATGTATGCATCACCACTCTGAAAATATATGACTCTTTCTCCTTATATGTGGTTTTGACCAGAAGGAATAAAAATGCAATAGACTTTCCAGGAAGTTCAGGTAATCTGTTTAATGTCAGATTCTTCCAGAGGTAGTATTCTACACTTTTATAAGATAGGGGTGAATTACAAAGATAAACTAAATTCAACCGGGCCAGACACCAAAATTTTATCACAGGGCATACAGGTGTTGTTCCACTGCATTAAGTGCACAGCTCTGCCTCAAGTTTTGATGGTGAGCACCCTGGGGATGGTCTGTCATCCCTCTTTTCCTACCAACAAACCACTTGAGAGGACATTCAGTTTGCCAGCATTTTAAGCACCCCCATGCACACACACACACTACATGCTTACAAACATCCACGCCTATTTCCAGGTTCAAACTTGGGCCAACTGGTATGGCAGCCAGTATCATTAAGAACCACACTGATCATGGTGCTGTCAGTAGTTAATAATAGGTTTCTATTCCTGATGACTGAATGAACGGACTACTGGAAACTTTCATAGTTTTACTTATAATGAACATACATACAAGCTTTCATTAGAAGATCCTGCAAGAAGGCATCCCTTACTGCATGCAGATAGTCAAACAGTGCTTTGGCATAATTACATAAACCAAACCTATACTTTCTATTGCATTTAACAAAATTATCTAATCAAACTGCCACTGATGCAAATTTAATAATTGCTCAACTCATCCACAACAAAAGTCCCTTTTCCTTGGGAAATACTGGAAATATGACTTCCATAGTCAGTTCTATTAAATAACAGTGATATTAACAATATAAAACTACTATTGAATGTCTTCTCAAAATGACCTGTTTGCTCAAATAACTGAAAATTATGGCTGCTTGCCTCCAATTCCCCTTCAAAAAATGAAGGCTGTTCATCCACAAAACATGTTTCATAACACAATAAGACCAGTGATGGAGAACCACTGGCAGGCATGAGACTAAAATATTACTTCCTTAATCAATAATCACAATAAAATGATAGTATGTAATTTAAATAAGTGTTTTAATATGTTCTTCAGTGTTTCACTTACTTATTGCATAATACCACTGGCATAGGTCTTAAGACTTAGATATAAGACTTTCATATATCGCAATAGAAATGATATACATATTGACCCAATTTATAATGTCTCAATCGTTTGGGCCAATCATATTACTTGTTACACGGCAAAGGATATGCCAAAATTGTAGCAGCTAATGTTTGCTAAACAAATTCAAATTTATTGCAGACTGTCGGTGAGTTCGAATACTTTTATTGTTAAATGATTTTCTATACTCCAGGTCTTAAACCCTTACAGATGACTCCAGCAAAAAAGGCAGAATTAAACATTGATAGTGGAAGATCCTTTCAAGAGACCTGGACAGAATCATTTGGAGTTATTGAACACAATAAGAAAGCATTATGGGTGCTGTGTGACACATCTAGTATTCAACCAAACGATTCAATTCCAACCAAAAGATTGTTGCCGAATCTGATGAAGCTGAATGGCAGGTGTTTAATTATAATTACTAGACTAAACTGACTAGACTAAACTTAATTATAATTACTAGACTAAACTGAGGAATTATAATTACTAGACAGTTGGTTTTTGCAACTATTTTTCTATTACAAACCATCTAACAATGGCCAGTTTTCAAATTTCACTGTGCCTGGCAAAACATGGTAAACCACTTTCTGATTGGGATTTAATCAGAGGTTTTGAGCAAATGCCCCGCCTTTTAAGTTCACCACCTCTGAACTACACTAGGAATGATAATTTTGAATTATGAATGCAGACTCATGTAAGAAATTTTTTTATCTGAAACAAATGATCACAAATTTAACACATAGTTCCTTTATAATGACATACTCCTCTGCTGAAAAAAATTTGCAAAAAGGTTGTGTCATGAGTGTAAAACTTGTAAATATTAAATTTGGCAAGACTGACCAGAACTTCTCCCTGTAAAAGCAGAACTGGTCAGAACCAATGTAAAAGAAATGTATGAAACAACAGTTTGTGTCAAAATGGCAAAAGAATTAAACATCTTTCAACTATTTGGCACAATGTTACATTTTGTCTGATCAATACATGTACATGTCTTAGTCATCAAAAACAGATTGTCATGCCACATCCAGGTATTTTGCAGATTTCTTATCCTATAACACTACTGTGAGGTTAACATAAGCAATTTAAGCACCACAAAACAGTGATAGCCAGTGAGATACCAGCCACACAAAAAGGATCTTAACAATGCTTTTAGAAATGTGTTGGAGCAAGTATGTTGTTCTAATGAGTGACTGTCAAAATGACCAAGCAATAATTATTTACAATTAAAAAAGAACTGCCATACAAATATTTTGAACACAGGAGTAGTGGACATGAATTTTAATATTTAAATTGCAATTTGAATTTTTTTTTTCAATGTGGGGAAAAAAATCACCCTTCAGTTAAAAATGCCTCCTACTTTATTTCATATGAAAGACAGGAAAAGTGATTACTAATACAAATAAACCAAACATAATATACTTACTTTTCTGAGTGCTGCAAAACCTTCTTCATCATATATTTTAATTCCATGATTACCTGAACTTATTTTAGTTGAATCTTCTGTCCAACTGACCTGTAAAAGAAATCTGCCTTCAGATTCCATTGCAATAAAAACTATACTGATTTATTCCTTCTTAAAAATCAAAGACAAATTGCATACATTAATTCAAAAGGAGAATGAACAGACTGAACTAACCCAAAGACCAACCAGAGAGTGAATAATATCTGGTATGATAGGGCATGTGCAATGTGATGAACTCTGGACATGTAAGAAGAGAGTACAGTCATGCCTCTATTTAATGAACACTGTATTTTGTCAATTCTTCTATTTAGGGAAGTTTTTGATGGGATTCTGCCCAAGGTGCAAATTTCCTTGTGTAAAAAAACTCCAAATAGCGAAGTAAACTCTTTAGTTAACTAAGTTTTTGTGAATGGGTTGTTTTTTAAGATAAAAGGAGAACAATCATGCTCCAAAGCCCACAAAATTCAAATTTCTTTTCAACTTATAAATTCTAACTTAGTATCATTCCCTGTGACCAAACATTAGTAATATTTTAAACTTCATGCTATTTTTGGCTTTATATAGGAAATATAAAAATATATTCATTGTTTAAGTTCTGCATTTTCCTCTTTACTTTCTAACAATATTCATACTGTAAAATATTGTTTTGAAGTCAATGATAACTTGAATGGTATTTTCCCTCTGTATTCTGTTATGGTTTCTTTTGATGTTAATTCACTGCTTACTAATGTTTCAATCGCAAAAGCACAAAAATGTCTACAAACTAAGCTTTGAGAATTCCATTTCACACATATTGAAATTGAACAGTTAATTGTTCTTACTATATTTTCTTTGAGTTGAACCCACTTTGTTTTCATAAATGAACAGTATCACTAAATTGAAGGATTAGCTATGGACAGTCACTTCAGCCCTGTACTTGCTGAAAATTATATGCGCTATTTTGAGGCCAATGGATTTACTATGAAGAAGACACTTTTGATGGTAACAAAGATGATTTAACTCAGATTTTATGTTACAAATTTGATTCATCCAGCCATTCAATTCATTTTTGAAACTGAATCTGATTTTAACACTCTATTTACCACACACACTTTTCTGTTTATTAATGCTAAATCATATCATATGACTAAGAAAAAAAAAACTTTTTAGAATTATGTAATTTGTACTCTCGAAGTTTGTTCCTCAGAATCTCTTGTTAATAAACTCAAGTATTTTAGATCAGCTGCCAATGATGGAGGATTTTTTACTGCAGTCTTTGATAAAAAGCCTTTCAAAAATTTTCAAATTACAATCAAAGAAAACATTTTACTATCAGAAATAATATTAATATCCATGTTGTTTTCTATTTCATCATTCTATCAGTTACAGAACTGCATGGATTCTCCAGAGATTCAGCTTTGAAATTATTTTCTCACCAATCAATAAAATCCATGGTTTGGTTTTTAAAGATTCTATTTCTGACTTTAATTCTTGGGAATTTTATAACACATCTTGCCAGTGGTTTGAGCTATTTTGAAAGTTTTGCATCAAGGAACATGAATCTTACATCTGAAAATGCAAAGTTAACAAGTCTTTGAAAGGTAATAATCATAGCTGGAAATATAAGCATAATTTTAATTTTGCTTCTGCAAAAATTAACCAAAAAGCTTCTTCAATTTGTAAATTGGATTTCCTTGAATTGGTTGCAACATTAACTTAGTGAGCATATTTTTTCTCATTATCCTTTAATTTTGATGACCATTGTATTTGCCAATTAAAAATAGTGACAATTTTTTAAGCTCACTATTGGGTTGTGAATAATAACAAAACAAGGCTAATTTTTGGATATATTAACAATGGCATTAGCAAATTTTTATCTTTTTGAGAGAGATGTATCAAGAGAAGTGGTTGCAATGTTATTCGAGTGAGAAAACAATTTGGACTTGGTAATTTCACCCAGCACAGAGTACACAAGTAGGCAACCACACAGCCCAACAAGAACTTTCTTCAGTCAGGGTTAAATGGGTCTATACCCAATGTGAAGCCCAACAGTCAGCTTTCCCAAAAGTGAGAACTTCCAAAAGCTTATCCAAAGCCACTGACGCTAAGTATGAGTAACTAGCCAATTGACAATAGTGGGGACCTTACCCTCTAAACTGCCAGGGCCTTTCTTTCCAGGCTTTCTAGTCACAACGAATGGCTAATGCATAAGCAGAAAGCGTCACAATGAATGGCAAATGGATAAGCAGAAAGCTTCACGGGAAATCAGAAACAAAAGGATGTACCCGCATCTCATTTTGAGCCCCCAACCTCTAAAACAGAAAAACACAAGGAAGGAAGAAAAGGAATAGATAAGGAGAATTGAAAACAAAGGAGGAAAGTTCACTAGGAATTCATGGTCATGATGCCATCTCACCAAGAGGATCCCGTGAAGGGCTAGGGTACCTCGGAATTGCCACACCCATAATCAAAGACGGCGAGCCCCTAAGGGGGATCACGGGGTGACATAAAGTGTTAAGATATATTATCGCAAAAGAATTTTGAAGACCGTACTGGGAATTGAAAGTAATTAGCCTTTATATATAATAAGTTTATGTAACTGCATACCTGAACTTGCAAAAGTATGGAATTATGATATCACTGAAAAAACTATTTGCTACATAAAAGTTGGCTTCATCCACAAAGACTGAAACTACCGATAACAGTAGTGTCAATGACAATGATGGGAAAGATGAGGAACAGAATAAAATGTGGCTGCAGTTGAAAAATCAAGGACAATTGCAGGATAATTTATTTATAGATAATGATGCAGAGACCTCCAGAATTCCTAGTGTAGAGGGCATAATGGAAAACGTAAAAAAACAGCATCCAGAAAGCAACTAATTGATACTTCACAATGCTGTTTTTTAGATGGAAGAAAGTGTACTAGATGGTGTTTTCCATGCACTAAAAAATGCGACTTATTACGACTTGAAATAGTGTTTCCAATATTCAAAACAAACTGATTATTTTTCAAAATGAATTTATGTATTTTTTATATGCAACCCTGATGGAATAGATACATTAATGAATGTAACTTTGCATTTTACTACTATTTTACATTTAAAATTTTAAAAAATTCTCATTTTAAATTACATTTTATTGTAACTTCCATTTAGAAAAGTTTTCTGCAGAATTTTGTAACTTGTAGATTTGGCTGTATAAAAAAGGAGGATGGTGTAAGCTCAGAATTTAACACATTGACTGTTGTGGGGGTCACCGGTGACTGGCACTCGGCTATAGCGACATGGGTGCCACCAGTGACCGGTGACGCGACCAATAGTAAAATACATAACTAGAGTAAATATCGATACTGGTAAATTCTTAAATAGTACAATTGTTACCATAATGGTTTGAAGAATAATAAATCACAATAACGGTCTACAGTGGCCCACCACAAAAAATGCATTAAGTATGATTTTATAACTCACAGTATCATCTGTAGATAATATTTGAACATAATATACATTGCATAATAAATTTCAAATTGCGTCATGGACAAACCACATCAAGTGCATGCGGCATTCAACATGTTAAGCAGATGCTACTGCAGAAAGTATATCAGTTGGCATCGTGAGATAAGCCCAACACTTGTAGTCAGCACCTGAATGATTTTACCCAAGATCAAACTGCCTGAAAGTGAAGGAAGGCTGTAGTTTGACTAGCACAGATGCAGAATTTCACATCGCATATAGTATACAGTGTCACAAGCATCAATGACGTTTTAAACGACAAGAGCAGCTGTCAAAAGTCTTAGTAATTAATATGCACTTGCAATCACGAAGACAAAAGACTAGTATATTGCTTTATAGGTAAGAAAAATCAATGAAAGACAGCAAATGAAATCCTAAGACACATGCAATAGCATATGCCTAATACTGAGTTTATCATGCCCAAGAGAATGCACACATGTGGTTTTACCTTGGTGACCAGACAGTGTCGCTGATGCATACTCATAACAGATAGCTTTCTCTGTGGAGATTTCTGAGCACAAAAACTGGGAAGCTTAGAATGGAGTTGAGTGCTCTTTCAAGATGACAGCTGATTCAGTCACACCAGCAATTCTAGAAGTGTGGATCCACACTTCCAGAATTGTCACCGGTCACCACTAGCAATCCAAGTGGAAAAAGTGGGAGAATATGCAATCACACCTTCAACATCACTGAAACACATTATTTTGAAAGAAGCGAAGCTCTGTTTTGGAGAAGTATAATGTTTAATACCTGTTCACACTCCACATCATAGAAGGAGACTCAATCACTAGTAAATGCTATAGTATCAAAAGTTTTCCTTCTTCACATGTCTGTTTCAAGGTGCTGTGGGATTTTAGATCCTTTTCTTGGATTACTATACTGCACCTTATTATAATAATTACTATAGTTCAGCTATGGAAGAGTGAAGATATTTACAGCAGGGACAGATCTGCACCATATATGTAAACTTCACTCCAACAAAACACATGCTAGATATTCAAGAACACTTGGAAGCATACTGCTAGAAATTAGAAACAGTTCCACAGCTGCGATTGCTGCTTTAGAAACAGGTCATGATGCCTCAAGAGACCGTCAATGACCTAATACTAAGCAAGACAGTGTGCATATGCTATACTACTGTCAAGGTTGATCAAATCCCTTACCAAAGACAGTATATTATTTGCAGACTGCAAGCCATAGGGACATTTCTATGTTCTGTTTTGCTATCACCAGACTAACTTTTAAATATGCGTCTTTTAGGGGAAAGTGCAGAATCACCCACTGCTTCGTGCGTTTCTCAAAATCGGCAACTTGAAAATAACAAGTCAAAGAATTGCACAAACTCGGTATCCATGTACACATCGACCTATTTTCACTTAAAAAAAAAAAAAAAAAAATCAGAGAATTGCACACAGGCTTGACTTTGTCCATATAAAGATCGATAGACGCCATATAAGTGGGCGATCCTGCACTTTACCCATCTTTTATGCCCATTGGATCAATTTTCTGGGCTAGCAGCATTGTTAACTTCTTCCAATAGTTTTATATTTTGACAATGTTATGGTATATCTTCTACCATTTGAAAGACTACTATGCTCTGTCGTACATTATAATAGTTTTGTTACATAACAGTAAATGAGAAGTACTTGACAGCTATTTTTTTAAGTAGGAATGTTTACACAGGCACATAATTTTGGTTGATTACTCGAGAGCTACCTGTCAAGGCACGAATGGAAAATGTTCTAAACTTCCATGGGAAAAATTTTAAAATAAAATTGCTTCATATCTGCATACAGAAAATCAAACAACACAGCAATTCAGTTATCTACAGCATTTACTGCACCACTACTGGCAAATTCCATTCCTATTATTAACTTGCCACTATGTGGCCAGTCTTGGTCTGGCTTTTAAATGTACCAGAAAACAAATGTCCTCTCAACAAACATCCAGTACTCAAGAGAAACAAACTGTACAGAATTATTGCTCTCAATTTTCTCAGTGGCAACAGTGCTGATATTAGCAACAATGGCTGTGTGCCATCAATTTGATGCGATTTCATAAAAAACTAAAAAAATTCTCATTCAAAGTTAAAAAAAAAAACCACTTTGAGGTGCACTGGCTTTTGTCTAGATGCATCTATGTACCAAATTTCATAGCCATGAGTCTCTTAGCTTATGTGCAGCATGAACGAAAGAACATATGCAGACAAACTCTTTCTTTTATATATATATAAAGATCGCAGATTTTTTTTTTTTAAACGCGCCAAAAAAATTAAAATCAAACTTTTTGTTAGCTTCAACTTAGAGGGAAATTAGTGTGCCTGAAACTAACTGAAGGCTAATATTTGAAAACCATTCCACATACTTAATAGAAAATATCTAATTTAATAATTAGCAATCAAATATAAAGTATAAAATTTTAACGGCTTAAAAATAATTGAATCAGTTTTTAAAATAAATGAAACAGGTTGGTCTATGTGTATTTAATAAAACATTAAAAAAGATGGTACTATTCGGTTTTGAGGGCCGTAAAAAATCGTCAAACTATTGTTGATGCCAGTGCTGCCAAAAGTAATTGTGGCAACCCTAACGCAAGAAAGGAAGTATAATAGTAAATAACTATCTAAATATTGATGTTTAAATTTAGATGAAAGGTTAATTTCATATAATATTTCGCTACCGAGTTATCACTAAAGCATAATGTCATCTTGTTGGTTGTTCAAACACAATTTTCTATAATGAATGATGCCTTTTCTTTGAAAACATTTTCGGTAAAGAGCAGAATCGCCCGCTTATTTCTTTGCGCTTTTTACTATGGTAAAAACAATTGGAATTTTGTCAATTTTCTTTTACTTTTTAAGTGACAATAGGTCGATGTGTACATAGATAAAGGGTAGGCGCAGTGCCGTTTTTGTGCAATTCTGGGATTTTTTTTAAGTGAAAAAAGTCGACGTGTACATGGATACCGAGTATGTGCAATTCTTAAAAACGCGCCAAGCAGTGGGTGATTCTGCACTTCATCCAAAATTCTATCGCAGACCTTTTCATCATAGACAATTCCCAAATTGTTAAATCCATATATATATTATATCAAATATATATATGGATCAAATATAGGATATCATAAAAGCAATTAAAAATTAAACTAGTATTTCAATGGCATCTTAAGAAATATAGAACTATATAAACTTATGCAATCTGAAATCCGCGCGTACGCGAGATTTGGCACGCTGTTAAATGGGCGTGTTTGCTAGATTTGGCGCTTTCGGGCATACATTTTCGCTGCAATTTTTTTACGGCCCTCAAAACCGAATAGTACCAAAAATATTAATATGCACATGTTTTTGAATTATAAGGTAGTGTAACATGACACATGAAATAACACAACAAACGAAATATACAGCTTAAGATAAACAATTATGGTGTAAATACATTTATCATGGGAAAGAGCCTTTATTCTGCCTTTAATTAATAATATTAGAATCTAACAGTATTAAAGATTCACAAAGAAGAGATTTTAAACAATTTAATGAAAAAAAAAATCTCGTTTTTTAAAAAGTTAAAACAGATACATAATAAATTTTATTCCTTTTCAGTAATCACATCTTAGCAGAAGTCACCAAATTCCCCTCCCCTCAGAATAAGCGAAACTCTGGCAACCACGTGTGCATTCATTCTTCAGGAAAACATGCTGATAATAATTCTTCATTTAAGCAACCCCATCACACTCATATGTGCTCTTTTTGTTGCATTCCAAATTTCAATGGTCTTTCAATAACAACAGTAATACTTTTTACCTTAAACTCAATTTTAAAATATGTGCTTGTGGAATCTGCCAGCAATGGGAGAAAGCATGGTAAAATTGTTTGCAGGAATACAGAATTTTACTGCAAAATCCCTGAAGAGAACAGAGATTAAATGCATTTCATAGACAGTGGTGTTGCTCAAGTTTGCACGATACCAGGTTTGTGCAATTCTCTCAATGGTGTTTTAAATGAAAACTCCCTGTGCAGATGAGCAGAAAAACAGCATGAAAATGTTGCAGAAAAATTTCAAAATGAATGTTTTACGTTTTCAATGTACAATGCAATCCTTACCTAACTATTAAAACTTGCATTTTAGATTGCTGAAGTGCGTTTCCTTTTCACACACGGATATATCTTTACGGACTTACGATAAATACTGATAGTTTAGGAATCTTTTTAAATATATATAACTTATCTTTCGATTTATAAAGAACTGCTTATTTATGTCATGGTAGTTGTGTTAATATATAAGCACCTAAATTTGTTATATAGGACAAATGTATAACAGAGCATTTAAATTTATATTAGGGAAATAGTTAAATTTTTTTAAAAACTATTATGGGGCTACATCGGATGTATCCATAACATGTTACATTCCATAATTGTATTTACAGAAATAGCTTGTTTCTTATAAAAAAATTGAAGTTTATACATATTGAACTTGCTCAAAGCTAAAATGACATGATAAAGTTGAATCAACTATAATTTGCTATTTTTAAGTATAAAAGGACAGCCTTTTATCATCTGATTTCTCATCAAGTTCTAAATATTAAAAAATCCTTGAAATTATAACACAGTAATATACCTCTAATATATGCAAAGCTTTTGCTTAACAATTAAAATACCGTATTTGACGGCATATAAGATGCACTTTTTCCCTAAATTTGGTCTCAAAGAAGTTACCTGCATCTTATACCTGAAAGACACAGGTTAACTTTCAATACTGAATGCTATTTTTAGCCCAGATAAAGATCTAGACACACATAACTTTTTCTACATCTACATGTGCGTGGCCTTCTAAATAAGGGTGTGTCTTATATGCCGTCAAATACGGTATTCTGTAATTGTACCATAAACATAAGTAATTCATAAGTCAATGAAAATTAAAAAATAAATAAATACATGCTGAAATTAAAACATACCGATAGCAATGAAAACAAAATAGAGTTGAAATATAATACAGAAATTCATTACTTGATATTTTGAGCTACCCGCAGATTTTACAGCTGGTACTGCATTTCCTTTTACATCAGCATACAATGTAAAGTCCTATGTAAGGAAAATGATTTTACAATGAACAAGAAAAGGTTACCTTTGTCAACAAATTTATGAGCTAAATATTAATTATTCTAAGTTTCAAATATTTCACTTGCAACACAATTTACCATCAAGTTTTTTCAGTACCCTCATTTAATGTAAGCTTTATAAACAATCTTTACATACATGTACAGATACTGAACCTTTTCTAAGAGAGCATGTTAAAGATGATTACTGAAGATGGCAATTATTTATGGATTTATTTTATTATGACTTTCGTATGTTAAAAAGAAATAATTAAATGCAACACATCCTCTTTACTGATACTGTTACATTAATAATACTACAAATTATTTAACAATGCCAGTAGTGAATAATGTAGGGGGGAAAACTTGAGTAATTTTATAGTATATTAATTTTCTGAAACATAATGAGTGAATAATAATTAAAACTATGAAAAACATATCTTATATCCAAAGCAAAAAATATAAATTAAAAACTTTAAAAGTTTTGTTTATTTGAAAAATATTCAATTTATTAATATAGTTATTCAGATAAATCTGCTTTATATTCTTCTACACATTCACTTAATAAATATAATAAGCATTCTTTCTTAATACATAATAATGCCATATAAAATATGTTATTGAATATAACTTCAGCTCAGTGCCACATTAATTTATCATGTTTAACTGCTTTTGTTACTTACTTTCAAGCCTTTTCTTGTCTCTGGAAAGCCATTACTTCAGGTATATAAGACATAAATCAAAACTCTAGCCAAATGAAGTTTATAATACCCCACTTTCCTAATTCTACAGGAATTGAAATCATTTGAGTTAGCTGCTACATTTATATTTCTGTATGCTGCCTTGGTTGGTATAATAGTTAGTGCTACTCGCTGCCACATCGATGAGTTCAAATCTTGGAGAAGACTTAAGATATTTGTACGGTTTGTCTTTGTGACATGGAGCACTTAAAACTCATAACGAGCCAAAAGTTCTCTCGACTATTTTGGCGGTAGCAAGGAGGGGTGAAAGACCCTCACAACCTTCCTAAGAGACTATTCTTCAAAACCGGGATAGTGCTGAGCAAAGTTGTACTGCACCTATAACTTACTCAAGGATCATGCCAACGATGGATGCAATCCTGTACTCCTTGCCATGATATGACTTGTTCTCATATTACTATCAGACAAGTAAGATAAGTCACAACAACAACATATTTCCAGGCGCGTAGCCAGGGGTGGACCCTGAGCACCCTCCCACCTCACCACCTCACCACTACCTATACTTAAAAAACACGGTAATTAATTTTCAATAGATAAGACTTAAGTTTTTAAAATATTGCTTTCCAGCTTCCCAAAATATTCATGTGATTAACAAAAAATGAACGGAAAGTCTACGATTTTTCATTTAGAAGTCAGATCAGGAAAAATCAACCTTTTTCAGCTAACAAGCGGCGGGAAAATATTTCGAAGGTTAGGGGACACTTTCAAGTCTTAAAGCTTCTGTTCCATTACAGCTTTGAATAGCCCTCCGTATCCGGTCTCACTTTCCCTCTAGCTATCAAGCTTAATGTCACTAAAGAAGAAAAAGCCCTTTCGTTTCGAACCAAGCAATCTAAAAGCATGTTTAAAAGAAAATAAGTATTTAAATAATATAAGTTGGGGCATTTAATTTTGAGATTTGCTACTTATTATCTAAATATTGCACAAAAGAGGGAAGGAAACACAGTAAAATAATTTTGAGTGATTGTTTTATTGTTTTTTACATTAATTTCGAATTTCAGTTAAGTCGATAAATATAAACAAAAATATTAAGGTTTTTCTTTTCTTTTTTTTTTTTTTTTTTTTGTGAATAATGTAGAGAACATGCCAACTTCGATGCTTTTAATGCAATGAATTTTATTTTCTTAATCATCTAGCAATTTAAACTATTGTCATTTAAAATGATCTAATAGGGTAGTTTTCAAATACGCATATAAAAAATTCATTCACTGCCAAGTAATTTATTTTATTTTATTATTAGCCCAAAGAGGCAAATTGCCCAGAAGTGTTATTAATTTCGTTTTGGAATTTTGCGGCATTTCACTTACTCAATATAGGCATCTGAAAGCCCAAATTTGGAGTTTAGAATTTGCTTTATTATCTATTTCATATTTTGTAAAACTTTAACAAAATTTTGATTACTCATTGATTCCAAAACGAGCAATGGCAACACTGTACGAAAAAAAACATTTTCCCCAGATATGCTCTTTTTAGTTTATTTTGTGATATTGCTGTTGAATTGAATTTTACGGTTTAAATGCGGAGAGCACGATATGTAATAAATAAAGGTAACACTCAAAACGTTAAAAATGCCCCTTTGAGCATAATATAAAATCTGATAGCTTTCAGATTTATTTATTTATTTTATGTGCGCCTGTATTTGGGAACAAATAATCAGATAAATACCGATTAAAAGAAGTATAAATTAAGATATTTTAAATAGAATGAAAAAAGCCATAACCTAGTATTAGTGGGCAGAATGTATAAGATTGATGAACGGTGCTAGTTCGACATAAGTTAGAATACCCGGGAACGAGTTGAACAACATTTATGGTTTTCCTTGCGTATAAGTTAAACAGACCCCTCCCCCAGTAATTTGAGCTGGCTACGCCCATGTATTTCTGTTGCTAAACAACAAAATATCATCTATGAAACTAGCAAATAAACGGTACCATTCACATAAACTAAGTTCAAAATAAATCTCCCTACGAATTGATGGTTAGAGTAGATTGAAGGGTAACTCTTGTATTATTACGAAGTTGTTTCATTTTATTGCCAAGTCAAGAGAGTGCACAATGCCAAGTTTGTATAATTATCAAATGCTTTTTTAAGTGAAAATAGGTCGAAGCATACATGGATAGAGTCAAGTGAGTGCGCAATGTCTAGTTTGTGCAATTTTTTTAAAGTTAAACTAGGTCAATGTGTACATGGATACCGAACATAAAGACAAAATAACAAGTCAAAGAATTGCATAAACTCGGCATCCATGTATCGCCAACTTTTGCCAAGGGGTACCTGTTAATATACTTTTACCAAATTGATCAGCCTATTCTTCTAATTTCCTTTTTAAAATTTCATAAACATACATTCTTCTGGAGAACAAGTGACATGAACAAGAAGTTAAATTAACGGTATTAAACACTTCATACTACTACTGTGAACGTTCTGAAACAAGTATGATATATCACATGTTAATCTATGCTGACTAATGAATGGTATTCAAACTTGTTACAAAGCTAATAATACCGTAAATATTTGCCTCCCCTTACCAAAACAACTGACATCAATAACATCACTGGCAAATACTAATACATATATCTGTCAAGAACTCAAATTAGAAAAAGAATAGTCTACAAGTAACTGTTATAACATTCGAAATTATACACACTGGCCAATGAATTAGAAATCTTTCAGATTTTCCATTGTGCTAGGGATGAAGAATGCAAATTATTTTTTTTTTTTTTAATGACGTGGGTTACACAAGGTTAGAATGCTAGTATCAGTAAGGTAAGATGGTGCAAGAGTGCTTTTCCCAATGAACGACGTATTATGGTAAAAACGACAGACCTTTCACCATTTGAAAAAGGCTTATTGTTAGCGTCCCTCGAAGATACCAAATTTCACTGGGTTCTCAAAAGCAGAAACATCAAAGGTTTTCAAAAGCTGGAATTGGAACCCACAGTCCTTCTTTAGAAGACGTAACTGCGGTTCGAGCACACTTTTCTAAGAAAATGATCGGTGCTGCCTCCGATAAATTGTACGGCAAAACAGGGACTCTACTGTGCTTTAACTGCAACAGATTGTCATACAAGACTCTTCCAAACAGATTTCAGCTCGAAACATGCGCAGAGAATAGGAGTGCATAGTCAGGTGGCTGTGAGAAAACCTCATTTCTGCGCGACATGCGAGAATTCGTTTGCAGTGGTGTCGGGAAAGAAGACACTGGACATCTGAGGATTGGAAATTGGCAATGTGGTCAGATGAACCCACTACAACTTATTTTGCATTGATGGAAGACATTGCATTTGGCATAAACCCCAGGAAGCCATCTTGCCTTACTCGCAATGTGCAAAGGTCTGGTGGGAGTATCTTAATATGGGGCACGTTCTGCTGGCATTGAAGTGGTGCCCTGGTGTTCCTTGAGGGCAGGATCAACTGCACCCTACAATGTTGCATTTTTACCCTGATGGCAACAGATACTTCATGGATGATAATGTTATACATCAATACAATGATAACTATACATCGTGGCAAAAGTGTTCAAAACTGGTTTGCTGAACATCAGTCCGACTTCAAACACTTTCCCTGACCACCACACAGCCTGAGTTTTAAACCCATAGAAAAATGTGTGGGATATGGTAATCTAATTTACAAGATCTAAAAGGTTGCATAGCCAATGCATGGTCTTCTTTAGATGTAAATGCACTCCAGAAGCATGTAGACTCGATGCCCAGACGAATCACAGCAGTTATCTGTGCAAAAGGTGGTCCAATAAAATATTAATCTTAGGTTTCCAATTCATTCGCCAGTGTGTATAGGTACTGTTCTGTTATCAGGCCCAGGTTCGGAAATGTATGTATGTATACATGTATATATGCAAGTACAAACGTGTGTTTATACATATACAGTACATTAAATAAATACACTACATTAGGAACATACATATGTACTGTATGTCTCTAATGTAACCATGAATCTTTCCAGAATTGTATAACTGTCATTGTCCAAGATCAAAATGCATAATATTCGTACAATTAGTGTATGCACCGTAACATATGTAAATAATGTAATGCCAGTCTCTAATGAAGTAATGTATGTTCCTAATATATCGTATGTCTCTAATGTAACCCTGAGTACTTCCAGAATTGTATAACTGTAACTATACAAGATATTCGTACAATGTACCAAATGCAACACTGTAACATATGTAATAATTTAATACAAATCTCTAATGAAGTAATGTATGTTCCTAATGTAGAATATTCGTCTAATGTCTCGTATGTCACTAATGCAAGCATGAATCCTTCCAGAATTGTATAACTGTAACTGTACAACATCGAAATGCAGTAATGTATGTTCCTAATGTATTTATTCAATGTATTGCATGTCTCTAATGTAACCATGAATCCTTCCAGAATTGTATAACTGTAATTATCCCAGATCAAAATGTATAATATCCGTACAATGCACCAATGTAGTGTATGCAACGAAACATGTAAATCATGCAACAGACGCCTCCAATGAAAGTATGTACATTTTGTATTATGGGTACTGAGCATACTTCCACAGAGCGCTTCTGCTTTATGCACACCTTACTGTGTCTCATATGTTTCTTATGTGTGCAATATTTGCTCTATGTGTCTCCATATATATTCTATGTGTCATGTTATGTATTCTTGTGTGTGTTTTTATGTCTTTATGTTACGTAATTATGAGCGTGTTTTTACGCTTTTACGTTTAATTTTGTATATCTATGTGTTTCAGCTTATATGCGTGTTTTAGAGTTTTAATGCTATCCTTTATATTCTTTTTAAGTTACTTTGTTTTATAAACAACGTCCTATGTAAAATCTACTTGACATCTAGCCCCTGTATGGCCATGTAAACTTCCGGTGCAGCCTCATGGAGCTCCAGCGAGTTGTTTCTTCGAGGCAGTGGAGGACGTGGGACATATGCCTGTTTACCTATGTTATACGCCAGGCGTCCCCATCCTCCGTCACCTGTTTATACATATATATGCACATAGATACAGCCACACGTTCATACATTTTTTAATCTGGTCCAGATAACATAACAGTACCTTAAACTGTTACAAGCAAAAAAATTCCTCACATTTTCTACATACTACAATGTTTAGCACAAATATGATTAATTTACATGCCTTTTGAACTATTTAAAGGCTTGCAATTATGGAATACTTATAGCACTTTCTCAGCCAACAGCAACACAATACAAAACAAATAAAAATCTAAATTTAAATCAGTCTTAGAGCAAGAAATAAAGAATGTTATGTAACTTATTGGGTATAAATGATAAAAACTTGCCTGCAGAAAATGCATATTAAATTCTACCATTATCAACAGATTTTAAGCATTTATGCTTTATTACATATTAAGGCTGACTACAAAAATTTTTTGAAATATTTTAAATGAAATTAGAAGTATTCATTAATAGAAAAGAATTTTCTAAGTATACAACCTTTGCACTTCCATCACATGTAACAGAAAATTCTGTTATTAAAGCGACTTCAGACACAACCATGCCATCTGTTGTTGTGTATATTGATGGATTCACAACAGGAGATTTGCATATTTCACCTTTAAAAGAAGTTTCATGTAAGATATTTTGGTTCAATAATAAACTAGTCAAAACTTAAAAGGTTTTGGTTTAAACAAAGCAAAACAAAAAAAAAAAAAAAACACACACAAAAAAAAAAGGATGTCTATAGTTTGTCTAAAAAATATAAAGCAAATAAAGTCTAATTATACCTAAATGATTGCTATTTACATTTTATGAATAAAGTGACTTTTTTGCTAAAACATGTGATGCCTTTTACTATTTGACTAAATTTAGACACATGGTGAAAGCTCAAAACAGACTGGACTTCCATACTGATCAACTCTTAAAATTTAGTGATTGATTTGTTTCTTTTGTTCGGTAACAATTTTTCCTTAATATTTAAGGTAGTACAGTTATTTTTAGCATTTATAAAGTCACTTGTTTTGAAAATTGTAATCTTTTATAATTATTTATATGTTTTAGTCACATTAATTAAAAGGTGGAAATGTGTGAAGAACTTAAAGAAGTCAGAATATGCATGTTTCTATACATTTAGTTACAACAGAATGGCAACAGTAAATTAGTAGTGGAAAACACGAAATGTGTTGATGCAATGCAGTAACAGTGGTTCAAAGAAACGAAAGTAAAATGGTACTCCAAATACGTTTTGTTCTTTAAACATAAATAAATTTGACTTTATAATGATTGATTAAATACTGCTTAATTTCCATCCATACCATTCATAACAGTCATAAATATTGCCCATCCTCAGGGCAGGCATTAGGAATTTTGCTGCCTGGCACAATCTAAGACTTAGTTTTACTGTCCAGAATTCTGCTGCCCAGAGTCTCCTTAAATTCTAAAAATTCTACTATTCCTAAATTTTATTGCTTCATGCTTCACCAAGTTCTAAAAATTTGATTGCTCTTTTAATTCTATTGTCCAGTATCCTCTCTCAATTCTAAAAGTTTTGCCACTGGTGTTTCTCTAAATCCTAAAAATTTTGCCACCTGGTACAGCCACACTGGGTCTAGCATCAGCCCTGCCTATCAAATACAACTCCCATTCATTTTTTCCCATTAATAATGTTTATAAACCTTCAAACATTTGAAAGTTTATTTTGCCATGGAATGCTAACATAGTCAATGCAAATAATCTAAAACCCTACTTCTACTTTAGGTTTTGGTTTTACATAAGGTATTTTTAAAATTTCACTATCTAACACATAGTAAAATAATATGAAGATAATTCCATTTTCGGTACTATTCGGTTTCGAGGGCCGTAAAAAAATTGTAGCGAAAAAGTATGCGCGAAAGCGCCAAATCTAGCAAACACGCCCATTTAACAGCGTGCCAAATCTCGCGTACGCGCTGATTTCAGATTGCGCAAGTTTATATAGTTCTATATTTCTTAAGACGCCATTGAAATACTAGTTTAATTTTTAATTCCTTTTTTGATATCCCATGGATTTAACAATTTGGGACTTGCCTATGATGAAAAGTCTGCGATAGAATTTTGGGTAAAGTGCAGAATCACGCACTGCTTGACGCGTTTTTAAGAATTGCACATACTCGGTATCCATGTACACATCGACTTATTTTCACTTAAAAAAAATCCCAGAATTGCACAAAAGTGGCACTGCGCACACCCTTGACTTTATCTATGTACACATCGACCTACTGTCACTTAAAAATTAAAAGAAAATTGACAAAATTCCAATTGTTTTTACCCTTGTAAAAAGCGGCAAAGAAATAAGCGGGCGATTCTGCACTTTACCGAAAATGTTTTCAAAGAAAAGGCATCATTCATTATAGAAAATTATATTTGAACAACCAACGAGATGACATTATGCTTTAGCGATAACTCGGCAGCGAAATATTATATGAAATTAAACGTTCATCTAAATTAAAACATCAATATTTAGATAGTTGTTTACTATTATACTTCCTTTCTTGCGTTAGGGTTGCCGCAATTACTTTTGGCGATACTGGCATCAACAATAGTTTGGCGATTTTTTACGGCCCTCGAAACCGAATAGTACCCCATTTTCTACTTCGTTACAATAATGCAGAGAAACTGTTACAGATAATCTGGAGTTGCTATATCAGCTCAAAAAAGATGTACAGTATTTGATATAATAGCTTATAATGACTGTAAATTACTGAATATACATCACTAGATACAGAACTATGCAATGTATGAGAATGAGAAAGATTTAGGGAAAGCTCCTATCAGGATACACAGGATACATTTTAAAAAATAATTTAAAGTCTATTAGTTTAAGAATTTTAAACAGAGGGTAGCTGAAAGACTGACACTATATTACATATTATAAGGCATGGGAACAGCTTTAGTATTGGTCCTTTTGGCGATTTTTTGATTTGGCGACAAACTTCGGTCGCCAATGTATACCCGGCTTTGAAGATCGGAAAAAAATGGCGGATTGTCAACAAAACCCAATCTAGACTAGATAACAATCCAAAAAAATAAGCTCTTGATCAGAATAAACAGTCTTTCTCTAATTTTCAACATTTCTAGTACTGCTATGATAAATTCTTGAAACACTACCGTAAATGAATTTATGGCAGTGATTATGTTATGAGTAATGAAATTTACAAAAGGTTAATATTTTAAATTACAAAATATAATATTAATGTATTAAACATTAATATTTTAAGTATTTAGTTAATATTTATATTATATTAGTACTTAGCTAATATTTTAAGGTTAATTTTTATGTTATGAATAATTAAATTTACAAGAGGTTCATAAATGCATTTCAAACTAGTAGTATATGTTACTTTAGTTTCTTAGATTCTGTTATTAAAAGAAAATAAAAAAATATTTCAAAGTGAAGGAACTAAAATTAAATTATGAGGAGCAAGTTTTGTAGCAGCATTAGAAATACTTTTTATGATTAAATTTTGTAAATGTTAAAAATATTAAGAAGTGTGTATTTTTTAATCACTCATAATTTATACAAGTAATTTATGTTTATAATTTTTAAAAGCTAAAATTAAATTATCATAATGAGTAAATTTTGTACCAATGGTAATAATACACAACAAATCATCATAAATCTGATGTTTCTCTGTGAAAAATTCGAACAGTCTTTGGAAATCCCTACTAGTGAGTGGAGTGATAAGCCACTGAACAGTGGTAGTTCAAGGCTTGGCTATATGATAAGTTTTAGTGGTTTTTTTTCGTACATGCAATGTGAATCTGAGCTAGTTTTCTCTTAAAAATGTACTTTATGAAGGCATCCTTCCTTCTGCTAGCCAGCATATATATTTATTTTCTATTCATAATTCTCTCTTATTTTCTTATTTCTTAATTCTAAATCTTACTTCTGAAGTGAAGAAGTGTTGCATTTATAGGTCGTAAAATATGGTCAATATGTTTGCAAAATCCTGTTCAGTTTTGGACAGCATTTAAATAAAATAAATAATTTGTATATGATGCAAACAAAAATGCATTACACTATTTCATGTAGTGAATAATTAATCAGAGCACAAAGTATAATATAACATTCTTTATTTTGTAACCAGAGTTATTTTATGCTTGGGATCTTTACTATCAATTTCCTCCATCCATTTTCCCACTAGAATCTAAATGAAGTTTTTAGTTTGTAAAACAAACCGTGTTTTGCCTTTCGAGGTCACGTTACTAGGTTGCTAGATAAGATAAGATTTGTAGTCTCCAGTCTTGCATTGTAATTGCTGATAGTTGAATTCCATGCTGGTTAAGTTTTTAACCAACTTTGAATTAAATTGATTTATTTGAATTTAAATTTTACATTTGAACTTAATTGTTATCATAAGTGATCTTGCCACAAGTGGTTGACTGAGTTGTAAGCACAAAGTGTGCCTTCTGTTCTGTACATCTAAACTTTATAAGAGAATAAAAGTATATCTTAACTTAATAAGAATATATCTAAACTTTATAATAATAACATTTAAAGACATTGAAATCAGTATCTAATTGCTTGCCCTGTAGTCAAATTTTTATATATAAATTGTACTCTTACTTTTATTATAGAGTTTTTATTACAAAAAATTCAGATTTCTGTTAGATAAAATGTTTAAGTAATGTAGAAAATTGGCATAAAATTTAAAATAAAAAGTCAACTGTTATGTCAACATACTATTAATAAAAGTAATAATACTCAGTGAAGGTTATTCATATACAGCAAGCTATTAGGTTGTAAGATTTACAAAATTTGAGAACTGTAAATTATAAGCAATATATTCCATAATCTAAGCAGCATTATATTTTTTATAGTCAGTCAAATTATAAAAATGTTATGAGAGCAATACTTTTGGTCCTGATTTGAACCTATAAATTCATGCAATTACACATACCTATAGTTCCAATACGAGGCAGAAAAGTATTTTTAGACCATCGTCATTTTGATCTCCTTAGCAAAGGAAACACAAAGAGTTTACCCCATGCTACTGAAAATGTTTTTTTTTTTCTTGGGATGGGGAGTGGAGTTTATAATAATATGCAGAGTCGACATATGAAAAAATGTCAAAACTCATGTGATGTAATATTAAAAGCATCAGATTTAACTATCAAATTTTAGCCTTTTTAAAAATATTTTAAATGTTGTGCTTTCCTAACACAAACGTAACTTTAAGAAAAACATGCAATTTATCCCTCCTGCCATCAAAGCTCTGATACCTAACAAATTCGTTAAAGTTACGTGGACAAAAATGGCGGCATGTTTCTTCAGCTCAGTATTTAGGGTTACCAAGGTTATCATTTTACATTTATCGCTCCAAAATGTCGCCAACAAATTTCTCGCCAAAAAGGACTAATACTAAAGTGTGCCAAGGCATGAAATAATGTGATCAAATTTCATGACAGTGCCCTTTGTACATGAACTGCAGAAACATTACTGAAAATACATAAAAGTGTTTTTAAAGAAGATTTAAAAAAGAATGCATGATCTAAGAGAGAAAGCTATTCTACAGCACTAAATCGTTCTATTAAGAATATCTAAAATATAAAACAGATTTCGTGTCACTTTAAATGATGATCATTTTAAGAAAATAACAACATACCATTACCACATTAAAGAAGAGTAAAACAACACAAATTATTAAAAAATATTTCATACACATACTTTAAGTTACTGAAAGCATAGAATAAAGAATTCTCAGTAAAAGTAAATTTGATACCCCACCAGTAGCTGAGTGGTCAAGACCAATGTTTATTTGTAGTTAGGAGTCAAAGTTTCTCTTAGACAGTCCCCCATGAAGGTATCTCCCTTAAGCAGATCGCTCTCGTCTGCTTTATCGTATTCATATAACCTTAAATTTGATTATATAACTACAGGTATAAGTGTTTCCCTGTTTGTACTTAACGTGTGTGCAAATTCGGAACTGCCAAACCCATTTCCTGCTTTTGAAACTGACACGATCAAAACAATTCAAACAGGAACAGTACATTTTTATGATGATGATGCTATTGTATTATTTGAAAGAAGGTGTTTATGGAGAGTTAGCACATAAATGAGTTACATACCGGCAAGTGTTAATAATGGAAAAATAATTAAAAGATTATAAAATATTACCTAACGCAAAGAGGAAGGCAGAAAAGTGGATACACAGTTCCAATACCAGTGAACGCATTTTGCTGTTACGAAGCGCGAAGTCACGAAAGTTAAAAATCTGGTTACTGGAAATTACACGTCGATAGCCACATACACAAAACTACGCTACAAGAAGTCCAGTTATCAGTGTAGCCACTTTTGTTCCCTAATTTTCTGTATTTATTTTACCGAATTTCCCCACCAGATGACGCACCTACCCTGTTATCTCTTTTAGAAATGTAACTGAATGGAAATGTTAAATAAATAAATAAATAAATAAAAAATAAGAAAAAGAAAAAGGAATTTAGGAATGCAAATATTCATGTAAAAATTTTTGCTGAACAAATTTATTTTATGGGCAAGGTAGATCGATAAGTTCAGCAAATCATTTTAAAACTGTACGAATTTTTTTAGTACTAGTTTTTAAGCTGTAATTGACAGCGAAAATATATAATTAAATGAAATATTTATTGTTGATGGTGCGTATATCTTTCAGATATCCAGAAATTTTTTAAACAAAAAATTAGTTATATAAATATGCATTAAACAGTACTCTTATTTGATGCAAGTAAAAGTTGTAAATAAACGTTTTTCGTAGTTCAGCTACTCAAATCGTATCCTGAAATTTGACTTGCATTTAAGGTTATTCCTATCCCACATCAATTTTATTAATTCATTCCAATTTTTAATAATTTAATACCTTATAGTGAAAGACGGAGACTGATCATTTTATGCAGAAGTCGCCTGAAGCTTACATTTTCTGTCATAAATAAATACTGTTGTTATTTTTGCAAATTTTACTATTTATTCATTTATATTTTCATATTTATGATTCTTATATTGTTAAGCATTGTTTGTTTTTAAATATTTACTCATTCAGTTTGCCTATGAGAAGATCTCAGAGGCGAAACTTAAAACAAGTATTGACATCGATCCACGTTACAAAACGCCCATGCAGGTAATTCTTTTGCCTGGACTCGGACCCAGTTCGAAATACTGGTGTTCAGCAACTTTACTGCTGGACCGCTGGTGCACCGACACTTCAAGAGATCCCGATTAATCTGGAAATATTGACTCGGATGCCATTCCTTGATCCACAGCATCGACGTCTAAAATTTACAGATACTTTAAATCTTCAGCATTTTCTCGATATGACAGATACTCCGATGCAGCAGGTAATTCAAATAACAGATAATAGGATATGAAAGCCCTCTTACATGCCTCGTAAAGAATAATTAGCAGCAGAATAATTAAAGCAGCAGAGTGGATTTCTTGTGAAAATTTTCAGTGCAAAATTAGATCAAATATAAGCATAACTAAATATGTAAATAGTAAATATGTATATGTAAATAGTAGAAGTCTTTATTGAATAGTAGAATTTTTTTATTGAAGTCTGCATGAAAAAGATGTTCTATAATAATAGCCAACGCACAGTTTTATTCAAAGTGAACTAAATTATTGTAAACCTTTTGTAATCTTATTTGCATTCCTACACATTTAATGTGTAAAATTTCACATTAATATCTGTTCATTAAATGTATGGCCTGCACAAGAAATACTTTTCAAACAGAATGAATTTATCTCATTCACAACGAATGTATTTAATTTATTCATATACTAGCTTAAGTACCCGATGCCAGTTAAGTTAGATTGAGAATAATGTATCTAACAACAGAGAGAACGATGCAAAAAATACGATTCATAGTCATATATTTTTTTCAGTCTGATGCGATATGGAACCCACATAAAAATTTCAATCGAAAAATAAACTAATTATATCAGCAACGATGGCACGCAGTTTTTAATGATTTTCGTCCTTCTAATCAAATGGTCATAAAAGCTCAAGTGCATCCAATACTTCACCTATATTCAATTTTAGTCGATTAAATGTGGCAAAAAATTGATCATAATTGATCAGAAATCAATAACGTGAATAAACAAAGAAACACATAAATAGGAATTCTTCTTTATATATATATATATAGTTAAGACACAATAACACGCCGAATAAATACTAATTCAGAAGTCAAACAACAAAAATCAGCGTTATACCTACAAAATTTTCACAGGACTAGTTTCGATGGTTTTACCGAACCATCATCTTCAGCTGCAAAACCGCAAATGAACAAGATAGGAAATAATGATTAGATAAGATAAGAAAACCTGGACAAGAATAAGCAAGTGGCGCCATCTGTTGGCGAAACCAGAACTAAAACATAATTTTCTCTAAAAGCCGATGGCAAATTTGGATTGGAATTAGGATCGTTAACTAGAACAGAAAGATTTTTATGAATGTGAAATGCCTCTAGAAAATCCAGTTCTCCAATGGAAGATGTTTTTTGAATAATTTTGGCAGCAGAAAAATTGAAAGTGTGATTTTCGGACCAACAATGTTGAGCAACAGAAGACTTCTGTGTTTCCTTTTTTCTAACATATGCCTCATGTTCTTTGACGCGAAATTTTAAGGCTCTCTTAGTTTGGCCAATGTAAATTAAACCACACTGGCAAGGAATCCTATAAATACCCCAGGAATTCATATCCGGAATGGGGTCCTTGAGTATAAAAGTTGGAATTTTTTGATGGGAGAATAAAACAACCCGAAAGTTAAATTTCTGCAAAATATGTGCAACTTTATAGCTAATTGATGGAAAGAAGGGAATGACAATAGAATTTTTATAATCTCCTAAAATAAGAGTGTGGCTTTTAGTGTGTTCAGATGAGAATTTTTTAACTGCTTGATTAATAATGTTGGGTGAAAAGCCCCTGTCAATAGCTATTGCTTTTAAATAATTTAGTTCTTCTTCAAGAGCTAGTTTGGAGGAGCAAACTTGAAGAGCACGGAAAACATAGGAATAAAATGAAGCTAACTTTTGTTTAGTCGGATGACATGATTTAAAGTGTGGTGGAAGGCAAACCGATGAAGGTTTACGGTAAACTGTAGTACTGAAGTTGGATGTGTTACGTGTGACCAGAATGTCGAGAAACGGAAGAGAATTGCAAGTCTCAAGTTCAAAAGTGAACTGAATAGCAGGATCAATAGAATTCATTGTTGAAAGAACTTTATTTAAATCATCTTTATTACCTTCAAACAGGGTAAAAGTATCGTCTACGTAGCGGAACCATGCCGGGAAATTTAAAGTTTCAAACAATTTTGATTCATAATAATGCATGTAGATATCAGCCAGGATGGGACTGAGGGGGCTTCCCATGGCTAATCCCTCAGTTTGTTTGTAATATTTATTTTGGAAAACAAAATGTGTTTGTTTCAAACAGAGTTGAGTGAGAGAAATTAGCTCCTCAATTTCGATGCAAGAGAAATGAAATTCGCGAAGTCTGGTTTCTAGACATCTTAATGCACCCTCCACCGGGACATTGGTGAATAATGATTTTACATCAAAAGAAACCAAGAGTAAATTACTAGGAGAAATGTTTTTAACCTTTTTTACAAACTCTATTGAATTTTTTATGGTGTAAATGTTATTGTCTAATAGAGTGGAAAATCTAGAAACTAAATATTTAGCTAAAGGATACGAGGCAGTACCTAAATTTGATACAATAGGGTGGAAAGGAATACCACTTTTATGAATTTTGGGAAGAGCATATAATCTGGCACAATTCGCAACAGATGGGATAAGCGAATGTTTTAAGTTGCTTGAAATGATTTGCGAAGATTTGATCGCAGTTTTTATTTTGGATAAGTCCGAAGGTGAAGGATCTTTAGGGATCGGATTATATGGTCCTTCGTTTAAGAGTTTAGTGATACCATCGATGTAAGTGTTCTTATCCATGACGACTATCTGGCCACCTTTGTCGGCCTTTGAAATGATAATATCCGGGTTAGAATGAATTTCGCGCATTGTAGCTCTTTCTCTCGCAGTTAGATTTGGTTTCAAAGGTTTATTATTGAATTTCACATTATGAGCGATAAGATGCCTAATCATTTCTTTCTGTGAATCTGAAACTTTACTGAACTTGAAAGCTTTTTCGATAGGAGCCAAAATCTTTGGAATCGAGGGTTTACAGGTTTGTGAGAAGTTAAAATTATATTTTAGAATTCTCTCTTGTTCTTCTGAAAGACTAACATTAGGAATATTAACTATTGGCTTGATGTTTACAATGGGAAGATTTTTTGAACTACTTGAACTGGAAGACTGTAAAAGAAGTTTTTCGAATTTAACTGCAAGGGTGTTTTTATGACGGTTAACTGCATTCTCCGTTCTAGACCAAGACTTTTGTTCAAGGGCAGTGAATTTTGGATATGATTTAGCGAGTTCCAAATGAAGCTTATAGAATTCATGTTCAATTTTGGACAATTGTTGACGTGTATCCCTTATCACGGACCGAAGTAAGGCAAGCTTGCAATTTAACAGAATTCTTGAAACGCGACTCGAAGGTTTTTGATTAGATTTGATTTGAATAAAATTGGGGATCAATTTTTTACATTTACATTTAAGTAAAAAGTCAAGATGATTCAGGAATTTTTGCCGTTTCAGGCGTAATTTAGTGAAACGATTAACGGATGAAGGCATGAATGCAAAAATCAAACTAAATTAACTGAGCAATAATAAAGTACACACAAAACACAGAAAAATCCCTCACTGAAATGAATAGAAAACAAAACGTTTGTAAGCAAAATGCATGAAATCAGACAAGCAAAGCACAATATCCAAATGTACAAAACATAAACATAACTTGAAAATTGCAAAAATGTACTCACCGAAACTCCTACAATCACAAAATGGCGGCCACACCACGTGCAAAAAGGAAAGCAAAATATATATAGGTTTTGTAAAATACACAGATTTTTGATTAACAAACTGTACGATTTGAAAGCGAGCAGCAGCAATACTTTTCTATATAAAGCACTTTTATCTCCAACTCGTGAGACTGTTGCCACTCGGAAAGATGATTGCGAAAATTAAGCTTTGTTTTCAGAGTTTTTAATTAATATATCGGCTGATTAAAGGCGTACGAAGATGGGAACAGTCGAAATGGCTTCTCACGAATTTTTAGAATCGGGAATAATGTATTTAATGTTTGACAATGCTATTTTTATTTCATTGTAAAATTTAGAAATTTATATTAACAAACTTTACTATTTGAAAGCGAGAAGTGGCAACACTTCTCAAAATAAAGCAGATT